CTTTATGCTTCTTTTGCATAATTTTCCCTTAAAGTTTATTTTCATTTATATGTAACTTTAATAGGCAAAGCCTATTTCTTTTTCTATTCTGATTTTGGTTGCTTTTATAAAGAATCTAATTTTTTCCAAGCTGTCAAATGTATCTAAAGTTGAGTTAAACATTCCAGGAATAGTTTACATGGGAGTTTGTACTAAGGATGATTCTAGTCTCTGATGTAAACTGTCTTCAGTGTTCTCCTAAATGTCATTTTCATGCTTTGGTAGTGGATTTGCCCTATATAAAGCAATTTTTCTTATTGAGTTACGATTTCTGATCACTAAATAGGTAAATTGAATTTCTGTTTTTTCTAAACCAACTCCTGCTTATTGATAGGTGTAAGTATTGATTTTTTAAAAAAAACTAATTAGTAGGAGGTGGGTTTACTTTAAAGCACTGAGCTTTGGATCCATTAAAAGATGGCAATCCTTATTGTAGCTTTTCAGTGCTTTTCAGTAACTTATTTGTATACCAAGGATAGGTAGTACAGTCATGGTCTGTAGGTACTGACAGAACTTACACTCTGAAGGGAGAGGTCTTTCATCTGCATGATTTTGATAACTTATAAAATAAAAGTTTATGTCAGTGCTGTATGTTTATTTACTTGTTTTTGCTTTGTTAGAAAAGATGATATAGGTGTTGGGTGTTGGTGACGCACACCTTTAATCACCAGGCAGAGGCAGGTGGATCTCTGTGAGTTCGAGGCCAGCCTGGTCTACAGAGCAAGTTCCAGGACAACCTCCAAAGCAATACAGAGAAACCCTGTTTCAAAAAAACAAAAAACAAAAAAAGAAAAAATTATGTGTGTTGAAAGGCAATCATTCCTTTTTTCCTTCGGTTTGTTACTAATATTGTAAGAACAAGCTTACCCAAAGTCTCACTTCTGCTGAGGTGTACCTGGTGCCAATATCCACATCTTTGACTTGGGACAGAAGATGGCAAATGTTGATGAATTCCCACTTTGAGACTGCATGGTGTCAGATAAATATGAGCAACTCTCTTCCAAAGCCCTGGAGGCTGCCCATATTTGTGCCAACAAATACATGGCATTTAATTTAATCCATTTTCTCCTATATTTCCTTCTGGAATATTACTAGCATAATTGGTAATAAAGACTTGAAATGTGATATGCGAATTAATTGAGATGCTACTGAGGCATCTCTCCAGTTTTTGTGGTTTGTATATATAATGTTTAGTCACTTTCAGATGTCAGCCTTTCGTGCCTTATTCTCTTATGTACTGGCTACCCATATTATAATCCCATGTTATCCAGCAGGCATTACTCCAGTTTGGTATCTGTGCTGTATAATAAATGTAGTAGACCCTTAGGCACAAGTGCCTCTTGAATATGAAAAATGACTAGATAGCCTGAGAACTTGATTTTAAAATTTTGTACAATATTATTTAACTTAAATTTAACCTAAGTAGCAGCTTGTTGCTAGGGATTACCATGTTGGACAGTCTTATTATAAAACATTGGGATAGGATATGCTAAGGAAATTGTTTCATGTTGTTATTTCTTTGAATTGCTTTGGAATCAAGTATCCAACTGAAGAATAAGTTGTTAACTTAGATTCATTGTTATAACCTAAACTACATTTTTCTCACCTAAGAATAAAAATAAATATCACTACTTCAAATCAAAAACAAAATGTGCTTTTGGTTGGTGCATCATAGGTATTATTTGGAGTACTTTTAGATTAAAAATAAAAATAGGGGGGGTTGGAGATGCCTCAGTAGTTAAGAGCTCATACTCTTAGTTAAGTTCCTAGTGTTAGATGGCTCATGGCTACCTGTGATTCAAGCTCTACAGGGATCTGTAGTCTCTGACTTTCATGGGTACCCATACATGTGTGCACCCCCCCACACATACACACTTAAACATATTTAAAAAGTGTCAAAGGTGAAAGTACTGTTTGGGATCTTCGATTCCCTTCCATCTTACAAAGAGAGTACAAAAGTACTAGTTAAGTCAGAGCTTCCTTTCGATTTGGAGTTTTTACATACTGAAGATAATCATGGTAATGCTTTGTTTTTACATTTTAATATTTGGATGGAAGTTATATGTAATATCAAGCTTCTTTGTGAACTCCAGATGAATTCAGAAATTACTTCAGAACCAGTGAAGAGTAAATGTATTAATGTTACAAAAATTAATCTTTGTCTAAGAAGAATCATGCCCTCAGTGGAGGTTTGTGTGATAAGTGCTGTTTAAATTGGTCAAAATTCAGTTTTTTTTTTAAATAAGAAAGGAAACATTTTGAGGTTTAAGTATGGGTTAATTATTCAACAATAATGCTTTTTAAAAAAGTGAACTAAAGAGAGAAGAAGCAAGCCACAGCCACACCTTACCTCCTTAGCATCTCAGCAGACAAGAGAGAGTGTTCCTGTTTCTCCCTGCTTATATCCTGTTTCTGCCAGCTATATCACTTCCTGTCTGTACAGAGGTTAGCTAGTGGCAAGCTCCATTCTCTGATCTTCAGACAGGCTTTATTTGTACTAGCAAGATATCACCACATATCCCCCTTTTTTGTCTAAAATTTAAAAAATGGTTATATCTGATATAAGAAAAATATATACAATAAGTATATACAATATATACAGGCAGTAAGTACATTAGCAATGTCTTGTCATTAGCATTTGACAAAATCAGAGAAAATACTTCATATCTATTCTTTCTTGATGAATCCAAAGTCTTGTACTTAATTTACTTTCTATTCTAATTTGTATTATCAATTTATCTTTTAATGTCTTTAAAACCTAATATACTTAAGACATATTTAGTGAGTTTCTTTACTGAGTCTGGTAAGCAAGGGAAAAACTATATACTATGTAGTCTTCAATTACCTCAGAGACCCAAGAAGGAAATAATATTAACTGAGAAAACAGGAAGTGTGAGCAAGCGATTTCCAAAAAATATGTGAGAAATGACATAAATAGCTGGCTGTCTGGACTGTCACCCAAGGTTGCTCTGCAACATTAGGATATCCATCTTCAGCCTATAGGCCTAGTATATCTGACAAATATTTCTGTGAAGCAGGATATTCTGAAGGACTGGACTGCCTTGTCTTGGCAATGTTTGCAGTCACTCTTTTTGCTGTCCTGTTTGTTCAATTTGGACAGCATACTGTTAGCAGTTGAGGCAAGGACATTTTCTTGCTCAGTGGCTTATCTTTGCCACAAAGTAAACTCCATGTGGAGTTTCATTGATGCCCATCATCTTCTCCAGTGAATGTAGATTGGTGCTGCCAAGAGCAGACATGTTTCATTGTTATAAAAAAAGAACTTATGTTACTAAAACATGTTAAATGCCATATTCTGTAGATCCTCTGAAGTGTTTGAAGATGACCTGTTTTTCTAAAATATCTGTTTGACCTTGTCAACATACCTAATGTGACTACAAGTTTAATTGTAATAGTTGACAGATTACTAAACTACGTTTCCTTATTGTCCTATATAGTTGATAATAATAAGTTTCAAGGACTAGAAATTTGCATTATATTGTTAAATGAGCTGTATAGGAACAAAATCTTGAACAATATTAGAAACGTATGTACAGTATGTTTTAGCAAAATTAATCTCAAATTTGTACCAATATACAACATTTGTATACAATATATAAAAATCCAATCCAATGTAAATTATTTAAAACTAGTAGTTGCTCTTTAAGAGTAGATTCAATAATAAGCCAAGATTATTTGGAGATGCACAGACTAATAGAAATGGGTTAGTAATTAAGAAAGAGCTAGCCAGTAAGAAGCCTGAGCCATTGGCTAAACAGTTTATAATTAATATAAGCCTTTGTGTATTTATTTGGGACTAAATGGCTGTGGGACCAAGAGGGACAGAAAATTCCATCTACAGGATGTACTATGATTTACCTATTCCTTCATTGGTAGACATTTAATTCCTTCAAAATTTTCCCTTCTATAAACCAAGTAAATAATTTGTCTCTTTAAAATTTTTATTTAATTTTGTTTGTTTATTAGTGTGTGTGTGTGAGAGAGAGAGAGTGAGCGTGAGCATGCATGTCACCGTGTGTGTAAAGAAGTCAGAGAATAACTTTTGCAAGTCAAGTTATTTTTACCACATTGTAAATAGAGGTTTCTTGTCCCACCCAGTCCCGCAGCCACTTTTAAAGTAATCATTATGAGGCTTAATATTAATTATAATTGTTTGGCTGACTAGCTTCACAATTAAATGAACCAATTTCTGTTATTCTGTATTTTACCACAAAGCTCGTGGCTTGTTACCTCACATCTCACCTCCCTGGTGGCTGCATGGCGTCTCCCTGCCTCTACCTTTTTTTCTCTTTATAACTGTTTGGATTTCCTACCTAGTTATATTCTGCCTGGCTATTGGTCAAAACTTTACTCATTAACCAATAAAAGTAACACATGTTGGCAGCATACAGAAGGACATCCCACATCATCACATTGGTTTGGGGATGTCATACTTGGGTTGTCAGGCACCTTTACTCACTGGGCTGTCTCACTGCCTCCTTAGTTAACGTGGAAACCACATGTCAGGATTTTGAGAGTTACTGAAAAGAACATTGAAGTAGCCGAAATAACATTTTGAATTTTCTAATACAGTGAGAAAGATGGTGATACTCAATGAATTAAAAAATTAAACCATTAGTATCTTAGTAAAATTTTGATGTTAGTCATCCATTAAAGAAAGTTAAAGCAATGTTACATTGCTTACTTACATAAAGTAATATAAAATATGAATAACATTTTCCCTTAAGTATATATAATCGTCTTAAGTCTTATATATTTACTAATGACTTAGTCTTTTTTTTAAAGTAAAATGATATTTTTGTTTGGAAACCTTAAACTCACCATTTTCCAATGGAGTATTACTGTATGGATTATATAGTTTAGGAAAGGAATGAAGGAAGAGTCCTTTTCAAATACACATATATTTTTACTAGGCTTATTATATTTCTCTTTGTTTACAGGCCTTTTTGCAAATGTGTAATCTGCCTATCAGAGTGGAGTGTAGGGCAAATGCAGAATATATGTCTCCATCTGGTAAGTGTGTGTGCTATCTGTTAATACTTGCTTGTTATTTGATACTGAGGATTGAACCTAAGGCCTTGGACATGCTAGGGAAGTACTTTACCATTGGCCATATTTCTAGCCCCTGAGGGATTTTTTTTCCTCCTTTGAAGAATTATTTTCCAGTTTTTTTTAAAGTAGCAGTTATAAGCTTAATCATGAAGGCCTATGTTTACTTATTTCAACTCTGGTCTGAGGTTTTTAACTGGATGTTCAGGACATAGGTGATATCAGATTTTCTCAAAGGGCTTTCCTTATCTGAAAATAAATTTTAATATTAATGAATCTATTATTCAGCATCCCTGAGTTATCTTTCCTATAAAACAGGTACAAGAAGAAAGCTATTGAAATAATTAAACTGTCAACTTTCTTTTTTCTAGTGTTTTAAAGTACATTTTATTAAAGCTTCACTTTCACTCTTTTAAATGATAACAATGATCTGTGTTACATGCTAGTAGATTTTAAATAGGATTCAAATAGTTGGTAGAAAAATATAATGCCAGCCGGGTGGTGGTGGAGCACACACCTTTACTTCCAGCACTTGGGAGCCAGAGGCAGGCGGACCTCTGTGAGTTCAAGGCCAGCCTGGTCTACAAAGCTACACAGATAAATTCTGTCTCGAAAAAACCAAAGTAAAAATAAAATAAAAATAAATAAATAAATACCCATAAAACTTAATTAAATGTTAAATATAATGTCACAGATTATTTTCATTTCTATTTTGCTGGAGCAACAACAACACAGAATCATTCTTTCATGAATAAGTGATTGTGTATAATTGCTTAGTGTAGGTGTGCTATATTGCTTTTTATACCTAAAAGTTTGTCGATCTTCATTTGTCAATTATTTGTGTCTAGCATTTTCTTTTCACCCTTAAGCTTTTTTAAAAGATTTTATTTATTTATTATGCATACAACATTCTGCTTTCATGTATATCTGCACATCAGAAGAGGGTACCAGAGCTCATAATGGATGGTTGTGAGCCACCATGTGGTTGCTGGGAATTGAACTCAGGATCTCTGGAAGAGCAGTCAGTGCTTTTAACCTCTGAGCCATCTCTCCAAGCCCCCATCCTTCAGCTTTTAAGGGTGGTAATAATTTAGACAATCTGTAGACACCCATCCCTTAACACTTAAAATTCCATATAAATGTACATCTATTGGATTTTTGAATAAACTTTTAGAAAACATTTCTTTTTTTTCCCCAACATTTTCTATTTGAATTAGAAACAGGATTGTTTTACATGACAATCCCAGTTCCCTTTTCCCACCCGTCCTCCCCTACCCACCCCCCCCAACTAAAACCATTTCTAAGAGAAATTTTCTAGAATTAGAAATCAAATTATTTTGGATTTTTAGAGGTTTCTATTGCTGTGATGAAACACCATGACTAGAAGCAAGTTGGGGAGGAAAGAGTTATTTGGCTTACATATTCTGAATCTCGGTTCATTGAGGGAAACCAAGGCAGTAACTCAAACTTGGTAGGAATCTGGAGGCAGGAGCTGATGCAGACCATGGCCGAACACTGCTTAGTAGCTTGCTCCTCATGGCTTGCTCAGCCGGCTTTCTTATAGGACTACCAGCATAGGGTGGCACCACCCATAATGGGCTTGGTCCTTCCACTTCAATCACTAATTAAGAAAATGCCCTACAGCTTGCCTATAGCCTGGTCTTTTGGAGCAGTGGTTCTTAACCCTGTGTGTCATGATCCTTTTGTGGGGAATCAAATAACCTTTTCTCAGTGGTCACCTAAGAACATCAGGAAACACAGATATTTATGATTCATAACAGTAGCAAAATTACAGTTATGAAGTAGCAACAAAAGTAATTTTATGGTCAGGGTCACCACAACACAAACAACTTTAGTAAAGGGTTGCAGCTATAGAAAGGCTGAGAACCACTATTATGGATGCAGTTTCTTAGTTGAGGTTCTCTTGTTTCATATCAGTCTAGCTTGTGTCAAGTTGACATAAAAACTAGCTGGCACAGAGATCATTAATTCACTTCTGTGTTTATTTTATAAGTAGGATGCTAAAATAAACTATGGAATTCTGATGAAATACATTATATTCTCACTGTCTTTTTCTTTTTCATATAAAGAATTTGATTATATACCTAAGGATTTCTATTGCTGTGAAGAGACACTATGACCATGACAACTCTTTTAAAGGGAAACATTTAATTGGGTGAAAATTAACAGTTTCAGAGGTTTAGTCCATTGTTATCATGGCAGGGCATGGCAACATGCTGGCATGGTGCTGGAGAAGGAGCTGAGAAGTGGAGAAGGAGCAACAGGAAGTGATCTTAGACACTGGACGTGGCTTTAGTATATATTCCACTTCAAAGTCTACCCCCACAGTGATACACTTCCTCTGTTGAAGGCCATACCAACACCAATAAAGCCACACTTTCTAATAGTGCCACTCCATATGAGTTTATGGGGGCTTACTATACTTACATATAAAATAATTAGTAATTTAGCATTGAAGTTAAAATAAATGGCAATAAGTGATGTAGTTTGTATATTTAGGTTACTGTGTTTATATAATTTAGGGATTAACTTCATTTTTCACACTTGAAAAGCAAATAGATAAATATTAGAGGAAACATGTATGTTAACATTTATTACCATACATTCAGGCTTTTTTACTAAGATATTTATACTTCATCTTGTCTCAAATTCGTATTTTTCATGGCAACTCTTATAAAGGAAAACATTTAATTGGGGCTGGCTTGAAGTTTCAGAGGTTTAGCTGATTATCATCATGGCAGGAAGCATGGCAGCATGCAGGCTTTCACGGTGCTGGAGAGGAAACAGAGTTCTGCATGTGGATCCATAAGCAGCAGGAAGAGACAGTGAGCAACTAGACATGACTTGACTTACTGAAACCTCAGAGCCCTTCTCCCAATGACACACTTCCTCCGACAAGGCCACACCTGCTAATAGTGTCACTCCCTGAGAGTTTATGGGGATTATTTTCATTCAAACCACCACACTCACTATATTTTTTTGGCTATTTGGGCACTCTCTATGTAGACCAGGCTGGTCATGAACTCAGAGATCCATGTGTCTCTGCCTCCTGACTGCTGGGATTAAAGGTGTATACCACTAATACCAGACTTATAATGGGCTTTTGAAACAGAGAACATAGGACAGTTAGGAAACTTTTTGGCCAAAAGTTAGGAAGTCATTAAGCCTGTTACTTTGTCCAGTTATTAACTATTTTATTGGAGAGTTCTACTTCTCTTCTTTTAACTTCATCTGTTACATGAACTACTCAGACTAGCTGACATCTAAGTTTCTAGCTAATATTCTCTGAATAAACAGACTTACTTGCAACATGTTAATACTTTCTTCAGGAGAAAAAGGAACCAGTTAGGGCCGAGGAAATGGTTCTATGTTTACTCTGCACACATGAGGCCCATTGTTCAGTCTCCAGTACCCACAAAAAAGCTGGGCTTGCTAGCTCCTTCCTTCAATCCCAGGGCTAGGAAACAGAGACATGCCAGTCTAGCTAATTTTTGAGCTCAAAGTCCAGTGAAAGACTGTTCTTCAAAAATCAAAATAAGGTGGGGGCAGACTGATAGAAGAATGATAAAGGACCATTGATGTCATATTAACTTCTGGCCGCTGCACACTCATATAGGTGAATAAACCTGTACACTTTTGTGTATGGGTACACACACACACACACACACATACACACACAGAGGCCAAAGAAAGAAAAAAATGATCTGGAGTGCTTCTGTCTAAAATGAGAAGCAGAACACACAGAATTGTCTCGTGTTTTTGCCTGGTACCTACAATAAAGACTGCACATTGACTCTAGTTAGCCTAGTGAGAAAAGGATCATTCACTTCCCATCTGTTGCTTTGATCTCTTATGCATATTCAGTTTTCTAGCCACATTATTTCTGTGCTTTATTACCTACAATGCTAATTTATGTATGTGGATGTTAGGTGTGGGTGTATTTTCATGCAGAGGCCAGAAGTTGATATGTCTTCCTTTGTAGCTTTCCACCTTTTTGTTGGTTTATTTTCTTTTGAAATAAGAGCCCTCTGAACCAGTAGTTCACCATTTGGCTAGACTAGCTGACCAGCTAGCTCCTGGAATCTTTCTGTCTCCATCGTTTGTTACTAAGGTTACAGAGCTCTTGACCTTTATGAGGGTCCTTGACTCTGAACTCAAGTCCTCATGCTTGTGCAGCAAGCACTTAGGATTCACCTCAGCACCCTTTTAATATATTGCAAGAAAACAAAGTACACAAAGTTGTCTCATGTTTTTGCCTGGTATCTACAATAAAGACTGCACTAAGAATTTGAAACTAATTGAAAAAGAGAAATAGTATGTTTCTGAAAATAGTATTCTTGAGAGGGCTGGAGAGATCAGTGGTTAAGAGCATTTGCACCTCTGGTAAAGGACCAGAGTTCAGTTCTCAACACCCATGTCAGGTGGCTTCAGTTCCTGAAACTCCAGTTCCTATTCCTTTGGCTTCTGTAGATACTGTCATTCGTATGTGTGCACATGCACACACACACATCAAAACAAAACAAAACTTAAATGTCATACCTCACAATATCTGTTAGTCTAGGCATGAAACAGTTTTTTTTTTCCAAAATTCAGATGACCTGTATTTAATAAAATTTTTTCCAATTCAAAACCAAATAACAATATAGCCTAGTGTTTGTCCAGTTTAACTTGTTTGTTTTTTGAGATTTATAAAGCAGTAGAAGGAATATACCATTGGTAATAGGGAAATAAAAATACATCTATTAAGTGTTATGTTTTAAAAGGCTCCCCTTTTCTTTGTAGTGCTATCTCATAGATGCAGATGAAGCTTTTATTGGTGCTAGGCACCTCATCCATTATCCTCAGGCTAAGTCAGAGAGCAGTGAATATACTGAAAAGTAGCTGGAAGACACCTGCTGCTGTTGTGAACTCTGCTTGAACTAAATCTGACAGCATGTTTCATCCTTTCACACGTGGAATAGACTAGCTTGCTTTTTACAGACTATTTTTTCCTTTATCTCTAATAGTTGTAATAAACATTGATGCAATATGACTCTCTAATATAGCATTTATTTAAAGACACCAATTTTCTCTTTCTCTCTCCTTCACTTCCCCTACTGAGGTGTGAACCTAAGGTGGCTTCATACTGATCAAGCACTGTAGCTTTAAGTTGAACTATGTCTCTTAGTGTTACCATTTTCAAAAGCTTACTGTTTTTGTTTTTTCTTCTACTCTCTTGTATTGGGAACATAACTCAAACTAGCATAGCCTTTAAGGTGGTAAATTCTTTGAGTCCAAGACATTTATGAATTCACTATTACGTGTTGTTTTTGTTCTTTATTCATTTTGCTCTTTTGGCTTTTTGAGGGGCCCACCACCCAGCTCCCAAGCAAATCACACGTGGACGCTTAGTCTTAGTTAAGAATTTTGAGTCTCTAAAGAAAGAAATTAAAGAAGATACCCGAAAATGGAAAGATCTCCCATGCTCTTGGATAGGTAGGATCAACATAGTAAAAATGGCAATCTTGCCAAAAGCAATCTACAGATTCAATGCAATCCCCATCAAAATCCCAACACAATTCTTCACTGACCTTGAAAGAACAATTCTCAATTTTATATGGAGAAACAAAAGATCCAGGATAGCCAAAACAACCCTGTACAATAGAGGAACTTCTGGAGGCATCACCATCCCTGACTTCAAGCTCTATTACAGAGCTATAAGTCCTGAAAACAGCTTGGTATTGGCACAAAAATAGACCAATATCAAAAGGTATCGATTTGAAAACCCTGATATTAACCCACACAACTATGAATACCTGATTTTGTCAGAAGAAGCTAAAGTTATACAGTGGAATAAAGAGAACATCTTCAACAAATGGTACTGGAATAACTGGATGCTGGCATGTAGACTACTGAAGATAGATCTATGTCACCACCATACACAAAACTTAAGTCCAGATGGATGAAAGACCTCAACATAAGTCTAGCCACACTGAAACTATTAGAAGAGAAATTAGGAAATACCCTTGAATGAATTGGTACAGGAGATAGCTTCCTGAACATTACACCAGTGGCACAGACACTGATATCAACAGCTAATAAATGGGACCTCCTAATAAAATGGCTGAAGGACACATAAGAAAGTGTTCAACATCCTTAGCCATCAGGGAAATGCAAATCAAAACAACTCTGAGATACCATCTTACTCCTGTCAGAATGGCCAAAATCAAAAACACAATGACAGTTTATGCTGGAGAGGATGTGGAGAAAGGGGAACACTTTTCCACTGCTGGTGGGAGTGCCAACTTGTATAGCCACTTTGGAAATCAGTATGGTGACTCCTCAAGAAAATGGGAATCAGTCTACAACAAGATCCAGCAATCCCACTCCTAGGCATATACCCAAATGAAGCACATTCATACAACAAAGACATCTGTTCAATGATGTTCATAGTAGCACTATTTGTAATAGCCAGAAACTGGAAGCAGCCTAGATGCCCCTCAACCGAAGAATGGATAGAGAAAATGTGGTACATTTACACAATGGAGTACTACTCAGTGGAAAAAAACAATGGAATCTTGAAATTTGCAGGAAAATGGATGGAACTAGAAGAAACCATTCTGAGCGAGGTAACTCAATCACAAAAAGACAAACATGGCATGTACTCACTCATATGTGGATTTTAGACATAGAGTAAAGGATTACCAGCCTACAATCCACACTGCCAGAGAAACTAGTAAACAAGGAGGACCCTAAAAGAGACAAACATTGTCCCCTGGAGAAGGGGAAAGGGTCACAATCCCCTGAGCAAATTGAGAGCATGGGAAGTGGGGGGGGGAGGGAGCTACAAGAATGAGAAGGGAAGAAGAAGAAGGATGCAGAGGTCATGAGGAAGCAGAAAGGTATAGATTAGAAGAAAGGGTATGTGATAGGTAGGGTTTTAGTTGGGGGGGGTTGTAGGGGAGGAAGGGAGGGAGAAGGGAACTGGGATTGTCATGTAATTCAATCTTGTTTCTAATTCAAATAAAATGATAAAAAAAAGAGAATGTTCTGGTTTTAGCTTGGCTTGTTTCTAGCCAGCTTTTTTTTTTTTTTAATTAAATTAACCCATCTATATTTTTCCTCTGGGCTTTTATCTTTCTTCTGCATGTCTTACTTTCCTTGTTACTCTGTGATTATCTGACTTGGTAGCTGGCCCTGATGTCTTCCTCTCCTTGTCCTCTTGCCTCTCTCCTCTGATCTCCTATTTATTCTCTCTGCCTGCCAGCCCTGCCTATCCCTCTTCTACCTCAATATTGGCCATTCAGCTCTTTATTAGGACCACCAGGTATTTTAGAGGCACAGTAAAACAGCTTCACAGAGTTAAACAAATGTCACACACCTTAAAATAATACTCCCCAACAGTTATGCACTAAGAATACTGACTTCAATGGGCTTCAGATTTAAAATTAGAAAGCATAAAAGAAATCTTTGGAAGACTACCTTTCCCAGCACCCAGAAGGCAGAGACAGGTGGATCTATGGGAGTTTAAGGCCAGCATGGCCTACAGAGTGAGTTCCAGGACAGCGAAGACTACATAGTCAGACCTGTTTCAAACAATCACGAAGCAATAAGCTTTTCAGTACCTTGAACTAGTGTCCTGGCTTGGTCTATGTGATTAATAATTAGTCTTCTTTAGTGTTAGCTCTGAAATGAGAACATGATGACTTGTTGACATATCTGGGCAAGAACTCTAGAAATGAATCTACTTGTTCTTTCTCCCCTTCCCTACCTACTTTTTTAGTAATTTGATTTCTGTGAATTTTACTTTCAGGTTGTTTTTGACCTTAGAATCTTCCTGCCTTTGCCTCCTGAGTTCTTTGATTATAGGCATGTACTACTATGCTTGGCTCTTTTATTTTAAAGTGTATGAGCAATCGTTGCTTAAAATTTATAGACTTTAGCAAATGCTTCTGGCTATCATTTGGAAAATTATAATTTTATAATATTTATGAGTAAAACAATCCTGTTTGTTGTTAATTTTTTTTTAACTACCGAAAACTGTAATTTCCTGAAGCTGTTTCCTCACATCTTTTTTCCTTCTCAACAGGAAAAGTACCTTTTATTCATGTGGGAAATCAAGTAGTGTCAGAACTTGGTCCTATAGTCCAGTTCGTTAAAGCCAAGGTAATGAAAAAAATGGTAGATACGTTTGACCATTTTCATTGATTTTAACCTAGCTGTATGAAATACTAGTGTAAATTATTAGAAAATATTTCCAAACTGTGAGTTGGGTGCTTTTTCATAAGATAAATCAATAGCAAAGATGTAGGTTGATTTTTCTAGTGTAGGGTATGAGAATTTCTGTCATAAATGAAGAGTTTACATTTTTAAGAAATAACTGGTTGACCTTTGAGAAGAGAGATGTAGGATATGTTTTTAAATTGAAAGTATTAAGTTACCTACTTGACAATCAGTAGTTCATTTCATTTGTTTAATTTAGATTTTAGCAGTTAAGAAACACTTCATTAGCCAGATGGTGGTGACACACACCTTCAATCCCAGCACTTGGGAGGCAGAGGCAGGTGGAATTCTGAGTTTGAGGTCAACCTGGTCTACAGAGCTAGTTCCAGGATAGCCAGAGCTACACGGAGAAACACTGTCTTGAAAAAATAACAACAAAAAAAGCAGCACTTTCATTGCTATTTAGGGAAGTATTCTTCCAGACTTTTACATAGATAGAAAACCAGATCACACTATTATGTTTTATTTTGTCCTTTAAAATTACCAACAAGTTTAAATATGGTTTCATATTAATGAGTATACACAGATATATATCTTAAAAATAGTCACATGATTTTCTGTTTTGTTGCATGCATTGTATAGTTTTTAAATGGACATTTGGATATTGACCATATATTTTGCTATTTATGAGTATTAAAGTGAATTTTCTTTTGCATAAACCTCTGTATACTCATTTAATTCCTAAGACAGGCATGGTTGGTGCATACCAACACTCAGAAGCGAGAGGCAGGCTGGTCTCTGAATTTGAAGCCAGCTTGGTTTACAGAGTGAGTTCCAGACCAGCTAGGGCTACATATTAAGATCCTGTCTCAAAGCAAACAAAGATAAATTCCTGATAGTGTTATTGGTATGCTTTGTCATATACCTTTTAATAATTAGAGCAGATTGCCAGATTGATCTAGAAGCTATACTATTTCATGTCTCTCCATTGCTACAGTTTTTTGACATCATGTCTTTCTTCCTTGTTGATACTAAATTGACTCTCCCCCCCTCATCTTTGTCTGTTTTATAAGTAGCACCTGTTTGGCATTTCATTTGTTTCAAGGTTTTATGCCTGAAAAATACAAGGTTTACTACTGACCATTTTGTTTTCTCCTTTATGAAATAATTCACTTGTAATTTTGTCTATTGGAAATACATGTATATAATGACAGATTAATACTACTTAATAGTGACTGAATATTAGGTATACTTTTATGCGCAATAATTTTGTTTTAAAAAGCATTTTGGAAATTAATCCATTTTATATTTATATATTACATTACTTGTTATGATAATAAGATAACTGAAAGATATTGTATATTTAATATGATGCTCTTTTAAATTTTTTTAAAATTCCCTTTAGGGCCATTCTCTTAGTGATGGGTTGGATGAAGTTCAAAAAGCAGAAATGAAAGCTTACATGGAATTAGTCAACAATATGCTGTTGACTGCAGAGGTATAAGATTATAAGGCTTGAAATAAAATATAATCTTGTATAATCTGTATTCTCATATAACACTCTCCTTATGGGCTACCTTACAGCCATTGAGAAGCAGGCTGGGGTGATCATCTGAATTGTTTGATCATTATATATAAACAAGTTTCCAGATATTTTCAGCTCCAGTTTTTCTGTTGTAAGGAGTGAGTCTTGCCTGCTTATTGTTTTACTTTAGCCCTTTGAAGTTTACTTTAATAATGCCTATAAAATAATGATGTCTAGACATATGCATAAGAAATGTTTTCTGTAAAGTACTGCCAATAAATTTGATAATTCTGTGCAGTGAATTAGCTAAGAAGAAAAAAAAACATATTTGATTAACAAAGTTGGCTTATTAGCAATTACCATGGCAAGAAATAAGTTTGACCCTTTTCTTCTTGGTGTTTTAAAGTTTCAGTGACTGTTCTTTTGTTCCTAGTTGTATCTCCAGTGGTGTGATGAAGCTACAGTAGGGGAGGTGAGTGGTTCTGCAGCATTTATCTTAATTAAAATTTAATGAGAAAACACTTTTGCTCAGAATCGCAAGTCCCTGCTCATAAATGAAACATTGTGGTTTATACCATTAGTGATACAGTTTTTCACTTACTTTAATTTTGCTTGCACATACATTTTAGGGAAGCTATGTGTCATTGTTTGATAGAACTGGTTGTGAAGTACATAAAAGTTTATATATTTTTAAAGGGAATGGTTTAAAATTTTAATTTTTTATGTTGTAAGCTATATATTGGTTTTTTTTTCAGATTGCTTTATGTATGCTCCCCGGAAATACATACATTTTAGAATTCTGTTTGTAAAAATGCACTGTTTTTAGGAAGGATTCTGTGTTTTACAAAGTCTTTTTGCTTTAGATCACTCATGCCAGATATGGATCTCCTTATCCTTGGCCTTTGAACCACATTTTGGCCTATCAGAAGCAGTGGGAAGTTAAACGGAAGATGAAAGCTATTGGGTGGGGTAACAAGACTCTGGACCAGGTCAGTACAGAGTGAAGTTAACAAGAGCTTCAACTCCTATGCATTAAAAATGGCATTACTTTAAAAATAATCTCAGTGTAATACTGTAACATAAACAGCAGTATACTTCTGTTATTTCTCTCTTGTGATGTAGTTTTATTTTCTTTATGAAAGTTGTATGTGCTTATTTGCCTAAAAGGTCTAAATGACAAATAATTTCTGAAACCCTGCCACCTCAGAATTGTCCCTCTTCATTTGGAGAATATTTTTCTAGTCTTAACAGTACTGTCCTCAAATAGGATCATATTATGCCTGCTATTATATAACTTGATTTTTTTCTCTACCTAAACAGCATATTGTGGGAGTCTTTATGTCAATATAGATCTGCAGCATCAGAGATTAAAAAACTTTATTAAACACTGTACTTAACTGAGGTTTATTTTTTGGGGGGTGTCTTAAGTTTACTAAAAGTCACAAAAAATTTAAAAATGTAACTTTCAAGGTCATGAGGTTGAGCATCAATCATTTAAGGGTATCCCTGATTTTTAGGGTATCTTTTTGGTATCCCTGATTTTTAGCCAGACATCTTCCTGATGTGTGATACAAGGGGTTAGGATTAGCAAGTGACTGGGAAAGAATGAGATCAATCTCCAGCGCCTTTCGTGTGTTGTTTTTGTGGGCAGGCTCCCCTCTTCACTGAAAATATAAGCAAAATGACTGTGTGGACCCAGGAAAACATTGTTTAGAGAATTAAATTTTGAGAGAAAAACGTTTTGTTAAACAGTGATCTTTAACAGTAACTTAATACTTGTATTTAATGTTTTTTCACTAACTCCCATTAATATCAAAGCATAATTTATGTCATGTATATGGTCTGTAGTCTTAAAAGTGTAAGCTGAGTCTTTTTTTGTTATAAACTGTGATATAAATTGTTTTACCTACTTTTCATTGTTTTGCTGATTTGGATATTTTCCTTTTTGGTTCACTGCCTGTGTAGGTCTTAGAAGATGTAGACCAGTGCTGTCAAGCCCTTTCCCAAAGACTGGGAACACATCATTACTTCTTCAATAAGCAGTAAGATGTTTTAGTATTATATGTCTTTGCTTCATATAGCAGTTCCAGTTGTCTTTTATCATAAAGATATTATTGTTTTCAAGAAGTACATACAACTCTGCTCTTCTTGGTGGGGACCAGTTGTGTGCTTTTTTTTGTTATGTATATGAAAGGGCTCCAGCTCCTTTGTGGGGTATGTCACTAGTGTTGGGAGCTTTCTGTCCACAGATGTTATTTTCAAGCAGCAAAACACATTACAGGGGGGAAAGGTGTGTGTGTGTGTGTGTGTGGCTTATTTTTAAAATTCATTTTTGTACTCATTAAACATTTATGCCCTCTGGCTGTTAGGCATAGTGCTGGCTCTGGGAACTAAGATTTCTAAAGTCTAGTTCTTGTCATTGAGTTTTCTTTAGATCAGTCTTGTAAATCAATCAGTTTTTGTATGATTTGACAAAGATTTTGATATAGTTCAAGGTGCTTTAGAAGTACAAAATATTAAAATCTTAAACTTTCAAGTACAAAAACATGAATATGCTGCTAATACAACCTTAATCTGTAGTGAAAGATGCTTGAAGACCAGAAGAGTCATTAAGAACAGGCAGAATACTGTCAGAAGGACAAGAACTGTTTATCCTTTAAAATGAAAATATCTTAAATGTAGACATTAAGGAGTATAGATAAAGTATATGTATATATGTAAATTGAGTAATTAATATTCTATTAAGATTTTAAAATATTAAAACTAATTAAAAAGGCAAAGATTTTCCTTTATTAAAAATTATAATTTTGGGATGGGGTAATTTCAGGACAAGGTTTCTCTGTGTATCCCTGGCTGTCCTGGAACTCATTCTGCTGACCAGGCTGGCCTTGAATTCAGAGATCCAGCTGCCTCTGCCTCCTCCCGAGTTCTGGGATTAAAGGCCTGTGCCACCAGTGCCTGGCAGAAATTATAATTTTAATATTTTGAAAGTGTTTGTCAATTTTGTGATCCAGGATAAATGAGCTTAAATTAATATTTTAATCTCAATGGCTTTCTTAAGGCTATCTTTTTCTTGACTTATCATTAAAAACATTTTTAGGTTGATTATATTCTCTCATGTGTTTTTATGTGTGTGGTGTGTATGCATGTATGTGGGTGGCATACATGGATACGCATGTGCCTGGGGAAGCCCACGGTTTATGTCAGGAACCTTCCTAGATTGCTCATTGCTGTATTCTGTTGAAGTAGGGTCTGAAGTTCTCTTATCAAACCCAGAGATTGTTGGTAGGGCTGGTTCCTGCAGAGCCAGAGAGGGCATTGGATCCTATGAAGCTGGAGTTAAGGACAGTTATGAGCTGTGTTGGGAGTGCTGAGAACCAAACCCAGGTCCTTTGAAAGAGCAGCCAGTGCTCTAAACCACTGTGCCTTCTCTCCAGCTCCAATAATTAAATTTTTTTAATCCTATTCTATTTTTAAATCCTGTGTATCTGATTGCGTATGTGCATGTGAGTGTAAGTGCTCATGGAGGCCAGAGCCCTGCAGCTGGGGTGACGGGATTGTGAGCTGTGACGTGGGGCTGGGAGCCAAACACAAGTCCTCCGCAAGAGTAGCTGGGCCCTTTAGCTGATAATTTTTTTTAAGGGCTTTATTTGCTGTGGTTTCTATCCTTCATAGACATTATCTTTTGTAGCCAAGTCAAATATATCTTATAGTAAAAATGAACATGACAATTTAGAAATATTTAATTATATAATTTTGTAACACAAGTAATATAAAACTGTATATATATAACATAACATCTCAGGTTTTATAAAAATATTTTAAGATTAAAAATTGGGACTAATTAATCTCAGAAGCAGAAAGTTTACAGGATTCATCAAATCCTGGAAGTTACAGCTTCTACAACTATGTTGTCTTCTATTGTTTCGTCCCTAACATAAAGAATTATATGCAGGTCTTAGTATTATGTAGTTCTTTTTCTTTTTGATACTGAATTCTTACTAGTTCAAAAGTTGAGAATCAATATGTTTTATTGTTTGAAGTGCATTATTCTTGTTTATGAGTGAATGAGTTTTGTTGCACATGCTGTCTTTTGGGGCAGGCAGGCAGAATAATTTTTAGTTAAAGTTGTTGTCAAAGTGTTGGTAACTAGAGATCTTTTAGCATGTGATTTAGAAAAAAATTAAAGATACTACTTTTGCTAATAAGTTATATTTAAACTTATAAAAGAAATTAGACAGTTGCAAAACAGAAGGTATTTATTTGATGTTTAATTGGTATTTAAGATGCAAGTGTTCAAAAATTTTACCTAATGTGGTACTTAGGCAGATACAATTTTTGGTAACCAATAATTAGGATTGAGGAGTATATTCAATTTTTAATTTTGCCCAATCTTTTAATTTAATTTCTAGAGATGAGGCTATTACTGTGTAGCCCTGGAATTTGTTGTGTAGCTCAGGTTGACCTCAAATTTACATTCATTCTTGCTTAGCCTCCCAAGTGCTGGGATTACAGGTGTGTGCCACATGCCTGGCTTGCCCATCATTTAATCAGTGTTAGAGGGAAAGAAACTACATTTAGGAAAAGGTAATTTTATTTTGTTATGGCAAAACTTTTTTCATTCCTTTATTTGTTGCAGGAGTCATTTCTTCGTAAGACATGGTATCTTAGCTAGTACGGAACTGGCTTAAAATACATAAATTAGATTCTAATTTAGAACCCTTGAATTCTACCTTTGGTTCTCACATATACTGAGCCGTGACAAATTCTCTTTTTCTTTATATCCTACTTTTACTTCCTAAAATTAAAAACAACGTTGGTTGTTACTGACCTACTAGAGATACTGAGAAAAGACTTTTGAAAGAAACCAAATAATTTTTGTTTGTTTTAAGAAAGAGGATGAATTTGAGGCTGTTTCAGGATAGCTATGGTTGTTACACAAAGAAACCCTGTCTTATAAAACAAAAATCACAAATAAACAAAAAATAAAAATAAAGAAAGAGGAAAAAGAAATTAAGGAAAATCTTGTGACAAGAACAGTAATTGAGAAAGAAGACAGAAAGGACTTTGATTTGCATGCTTTAGTAACAATTTCAAGTTCACCATTGTATATATGTATATGTGTGTTACACTCTTTCTAGTAGTATGAAGAGATGACAAGGTAAATCATATTAGAAAAGGAAAATTAGGAGGCACCTGGACCAAATTAGTAGTTTTGGAATTAGATACTACAAAGAATATTAGATAGTTGGGGGTGGTGGTACATGTCATTAATCCCAGCAGAGGCAGAGCAGATCTGTGTGAGTTCGAGGCAATCCTGGTTTACAAATCGAGTTCCAGGACAGCCAGGACTGTTACACAGAGAAACCCTGTCTTGGGGGGTGGGGTGGGGGAACAGATCAGGTAAAAAAAAAAAAAAATGAATAAATAAGACAAAAAGAATGTGTAGGAGGAAACTTTTAAATGGAAAAGGTTAGGGAGATGTTCTCATTTTATAGTACTGTTTCCATTTTGATATTCAAATGAAAGAATACATATCCAGCAGACATGATGATGATGTAAGGTAACAGTAGGATTTTAATAACTTGTCATCCTAGAATATTTTCCTAATAAAAAGTCAGCAAAGATGAGTGCAATAATACATTTGAAATCTTACAGCTCATAGGAAGAGAATTGGCACACACACACACACACACACACACACACACACACACATACACACACACATTCATATCACAATCCACAAAGTCACTTTCAAGCATGAGAGTGGGAAGTAATATTTTTTCTTCATAGCACAACAGAGAAATTTAAGAGCATGTACCTAATGGTCTTTGTGTTATTCAACAGTGTTGTTGAACTTCTGAGTAAAGTAAATTTTTGCAATTTGTTTTACATTTATTTTATGTGTGTGTGTGTGTGCAGGGATCATGCATGTGTGTGGGAGTTGGTTCTTTCCTACAATGTGGGGCCCAGGGATTGAGTTTGGATTATCAGGCAGTCAGTGCCTTTCTTTACTTGCGGAGCCATGTCGCTGGCTGGTGGATTTTTGTTGTTGTTTTGCCCTTGTCTTTCATACAAGTTGTAGGTTTTTCTGAATTGGTTGCTTATTTATTCATTTTTTGGGCATAATTCACATTTTATAAAATCATCACTTTTATGATTTTGGTTTTAAGTCTTAAGAAATACATCTTATTGTATAACCGCAAGTGTACTTTAAATTAAAAACTTAAATTATTTATGTATGTGTTGTGGGGGCATGCCATAGTGCAAGTGTGGAGGTCAGAGAACAACTTGGAGAAGTTGGTTTTCTCCTTCTACTGTGAGTTCCTGAGATAGAACTCAGGTCACCAGGCTGGGCAGCAAGTGCTTTAACCCTGCTGAGCCATCTTTCCAGTCTCACAAGTACTTTTTTATTTAAAGGGAGGAATTGTGGAAATTGATAACTTGTAAAAATCAGAATCAGTTAATATGAGTCACTGAAATTTGTAAGGATTGCAGGGCCTCATAGTGAATGCCAGTACTTTTGAGTAGGTGACTTTGTGACTTTGAAGTTAGGCGAGTTTACATAGAAAGTTCTAGACCAGCCAGGACCACATAAGGAGACATTGCCTTAAATTTTAAGGACCATAAGAAATGTGTTTTGATAATGTATGCTTTGTTTTATTCAGCTATTGTATCCTACTTCCTCATAGGTTTTAAAAAGCAGCTTTAAGTAGCTATCTTAGTGAAACAGTTTTTGTATGCTCATACCCATATATAAATTCAGGGCCTTTGGAGTTATATGATTATATGCTTTTAGCATGTGACATTTTGATCACTTCAGGGTACTTCTGATGAGCACAGATTCATTGTTCACCTTACTCAGAGCCTTCGTTTATTGATAAAGAGTGCCCAGCCATATAAGAAGTGAAGGATGATTGACATAAACCTGTATTAAGAAAATAAGTCCTCACTTGTAAAATAGATATCTCTCTTTTTAAGAAATGTTAAGGATATAGGAAAGTTAATATTTATATTACTTGTAGCAAAGTAACTTATCTACTTTGTGTCCTTGGTTCTTTGTAAGGATCTGCTTGTTATTGATTCTTCATTTGTGATGAAAAAATTATGGTGCTGTTAAGTTCAAGGACTCTTGTTATTTAAAACAAAAAATGAAAAAATGCTATTCTCTTGACTACCTTCTTAAACATGATCACAGATAGAATATTTTCATTTTATCTTATTTTTAGACAGGAATTTGTGTGTAGCTCAAGATCACCTTGAATTTATAATATTACTGACTAAGCCTGAATACTGCAGTTAGAGGCCTGTGCCAAGTTGTACATCTCACTTTATATAATATTCCATCATTGCATGAAAAGAGGGAAAACTGCAACAGGAAGTAGATAATTACTGTTAGAAAAAAAAAATCCCACATTCTGCAGTATACTTATTTTTCTTTCCATCGTTTATCCAGCAAATCATGGAGACTACAGATACTCTACTAAGATCTGGGGCTATAAATATTCAGGCAGTGCTTGCTGCCTTTAAAACTTACAGACCCTGGTGAGGGAAACTGTTCAGTAAGTGCAGTTTTAGTGTGGTGTAAGACACACAGTCAGCCTTCCCCCTCCTCTGCCAGCCTGACCCCTACTGAGAGCCCTCATCCAGTGGCTGATGGAAGCAGAGGCAGACATCCACAGATACACACTGAACTGAACTCTGGAACTTAGTTGCAGAGAGGGGAGGGATGAAGATCAAAGGGGTCGGTACCAGGCTGGTGAAACCCACAAAATCAGCTGGCCTGAACAAGGGGGAGCACATGGACCCCAGACTGCTCTCTGGGAGGCTAGTACAGGACTGATCCAGACCCCTGAACATGAATGTCAATGAGGAGGCCTCTGCACTCCAGGGGGGCCCTGGTAGTGGATTAGTATTTTTCCCTGGTGTAAGAAGGGACTTCGAGAGCCCATCCCGCGCCTCTGCCTGGACACATGGGGGAGGGCCTAGGCCTGGCCCAGGATGATGTGGTGGACTTGGGGGAGCCCCCGTTGAGGGCCCTACCCTGCCTAGGGAGTGGAGGGTGGATGGGGTTGGGGGAAAGTGGGAAGTTGGGAGGGAGAGGGAGAGGGATTGACTTGTGAAGCAAGCCTGTTCCTAATTTGAACTAATAAAAAAAATTAGAAAAAAAAAGACACACAATCGCCTTTTCATTGACTCTTGTAATGGTTTCTGTTAATGTTCACATATAGAGAGTGTGTGTGTGTGTGTGTGTGTGTGTGTGTGTGTGTGTGTTTCATGTCTTAGAATATCTTTTTTTCTTTTTTTTTGATCTCTAACATAGTTTCTGCCACTCTGAAAATGCACTGTATTTATTTGGTGATTAAAATAATGAATGCAGGGCTAGGGAGATGGCTCAGATGACTGCTCTTCCAGAGAACCTGGGTTCAATTTCCAGCACCCATATGGCAGCTCACAACTGTCTGTAAATCCACTTCCAGGGGATCAGACACCCTCATACAGACATACATACAGGCACCAATGCACAGGAAATAAAAACACACAAACAAAAAAATAATGGATGCTGAATGACAAATTTAAAATGAAAAAGTTCTATCAAGTTGTGGTAGGATTTATTTCTGTGACTTTTAACTTTTAAATTGATCAAGGAAATATTTTTTGAAAAAAAATGGTTTTTAATATAAAAATGAAGTACCTCTCAGCTTTTCTCTTTTTTTTTTTTTTTTTAGACCTACTGAACTTGATGCTCTGGTGTTTGGCCATTTGTACACCATTCTTACCACACAGTTGACCAGTGATGAACTTTCTGAGAAGGTGAAAAACTATAGCAACCTCCTTGCTTTCTGTAGAAGAATTGAACAGTGCTATTTTGAAGATCAGTGTAAAGGCAGGTTGTCTTAGAATTTTATGTCAATTAGTTGTTACTTTAAAAAATCTAACTTTTGAAATATGTATTACCTGAACATTATAATAGATAATAGTTTCAGAATTTCAAAACCAAAAACACTTTTTTGAAACCTCAAAAAAATTGTATAATTTCATATACATGTTCTTTGTGCTGTTATTTGTGTCCACCTCCATTTTGAATTGTTTGATTTGTTACATTGTATTCTATATCTTGATATTTTATTTCTTTATGAGCATATAAAAATAAACCTTAAGCAACTATGGTTGTTTCATTTACTTTCTTTGATCTTTTTGGCTACTCACTGAATTTAGTACATGTGGAATAAACATTTCTCTAAGGAAAGCAATTGATGTGTGTTTACTAAGACCATTGAATACACAATGAAAATGACAATGGGAAAGTATTCTTTAAAAATGTACTGAGATAGTGGGGTGACTGACTGTATGTCATCCAGTGAGGCACACATTGCACATTCTTCATACCTAAATTGAACTGAATTTAACAGTGTTTCATTAGGGCAGGGATGGGTTGAAAGAACTATTTTATGGAGATGAGAACATCTTGATATTTTTTAATTCTTTTGGGGGGGATGAAGGGGGAGTAGTTTTCATAGGAGTAGTGATGGGATTTCATATACAAATCTAAGGATTGTATATCATTCTCCCATCATAGTAGTGATGTCAAGAGTGATACTGCCTTATCATTTACCAAACATTTCTAACTCACTTAATGTTCACAGAACACTTAATAATGATTATCTCCAGTTTAAAAAACAGTAAATGGAGTCTCAAACAGTTTTTTAGAATTTCATACATGTATACAAATATTTTAGTCATATCTATCCCCCACTTTCTCCAGTGCCTTTCCCCACATATATCTCATCTCCTCCCCAACTTCTTGTCTTTAAAATAGTTAGAAAGTTTTTAAAACCTAAGTCAAATTATTCATGTTTGTGAGGTCATTCAGTGTGGGTTGTGGGACCAACTACCAATGACTTCCCCATTCCTCAAGGAAAAATAACTCTCCTTTCTCAGCAGTCATTAATTGCCATTGGCTTCTTGATAAGGAGTGGGATATTGGATGAGCCCTTCTCCCCTCCATGCTGACATAGTCTTTCTCATTTTCATTATTTCATCTCTAAGCTAACACTTTTTCTCCCCTTCAGGACAGAGTTTCTGTATAATCTTGGCTGTCCTAGAACTCACTCTGTAGACCAGGTAGTCCCTGAACTCATTTGAACTCATATTTGCTTGCTTATGCCTCCTGAGTGCTTGGATTAAAGGTGTATACAACTGCCAGGCTTCAGGCTAACACTTTTAAAGGGTAATTAAGTTTCATGTTTCTATTCCATAGAGTGCTTTAAAAAAGAAGAAAGGAAGAAACAGTAACTTACTGTGTAGCCTTGGTGGCCTAGAACTCACAGAGAGTTCTGCCTCTGTCTCTAGAATACTGGGATTATAGGGGTTTGCTGCCACTGGTTCTGTTTAAAGGTTTTAAATTTTTTTGGGTGTGTTTAAGTACTTCTTTGTATGTTTGTATATATATCAAGTGTGCTCTCAGAGACCAAATCCCCTGGAACTCAAGTTACAGACAGTTGGGAGCTGCACTGTGGGTGCTAGGCTCTGAACCTGGGAACAGCAAGTATATATAAGCCCCTAAAATGCTTATTTTAATTCATTCAATAGCCAGGATTATGTACAGTTAAGTACTCTGAAGAGAATGGTGTGTGTATGTAAAACTTAGATCAAAGTTAACCCATAGTAACAACTCAGTGACTGCCTGGAGTCAGATTTTATATTCTTTAAGGATTAAATGCAAAGGGCAATTTTTGGAGGTTAATGGGAAATTACTTTGATTCTGATGTTTATAAGGCATGTTTATCAAACTGCATTTTATTGTATGTAAATTACAGCCCAATAAAGTTTATTTAAATAAATTTGACAATTCTCTTCTCCCTTCTCTTCCCTTCCCCTCTCCTTTCCTCCCCTCCTCTTGACCTTGAGATCAGCCTCCTGAGTTTGAGATTCTTGGGCTTTTGAATGCCAGTTTACATTTGGTTATTTGTCTAGGACTTCTATTTCCTCCTAGTGTAAGAAGAGACTATGGCAAATCAGCTCTAGACTGAAGTTCACTTTTTGTTGGGCTTGTGTTCCATACATGGCTAATGAGAAAGGTGATTCTTGTTTAGATGGTTTCATTTTTCATTTCAGATTCTGGTTAAACCTGATAGCCACCTTGGTTTCAGTTCTGCTTTCTTGCTCCTTATATCACTGTACTTTTAAGTGATTTGATGCTATTCCGCACACTGCTTTAGATAAGAAGAGAGGTAAACAGCTTTTATTTGAAGATGTCGATACTTAATCTGTGATTCTTGAGAATGTCTGCTTGTGGTCATAGACCTCTGTCCAAGTTATTTCATGCTTTGTTGTTATTGCTCTATTTGTCTCTGTTTAGCCAGCACTCACAAACTCAATCAGAAAGGTAGACCTATGATGAGGAAAGTTAGACAGACAGATGTTAGTAGTGGTGCTGTGCCATGTAGAATGCATCTATGTTAAGGCATTAAGGTAAAAAATAAAACTACTTGTCTACCAAACATTTGTAGTCAACTGATTGACTACCTTCATGAACCTACTGACTTGACTTGGTACTTAAACTGTGAAGTACCAGGGGCCATAGTGGTTCCTGCTTTTAATTCCAACATTCAGGAAGCAGAGGCAGACAGATCTCTGTGAGTTCAAGGTCACCCTGGCCTACTTGGTGTGTGCCAGGTCATCCAGGGTTAGTCAGTGAAATTCCATCTATGTACTATGTAAAGGAGTTGTCGAGGAGGCAAGGGAGCTTTCTCTGCAGTGCAGCCTCCTTACCCTCTGCCTAGCTAAGAACCAGTGGTACTTAATTCTTGTTTAGTGCTAACCGATAGTAATAAAGTTGATGACATCATGTGGCTTTAGTTACTGGCCATTTGCAAACAGCTTTCCTTTTTGCCAGCAGCAAATGTTAACTTTGCTGTGGGTTTGAGCAAAACTACATTTGTGCATGGTTGCAGTGTTTTAGAAGTAACGAGAGGATGTGTGTAGCTCCCAAATGACCCGTGTTACAGTGTCCAATACTAGGGTAAGAATTCCATTTTCTCATTTATTATTTGGTCATTCACCTACTTAATAAATACTTAAATGTAGGCAGAATTGAGTTGGTGGTTTCTTTTCTCTGAAGGTACTTAGAAGTTAGTGTTAGAAGAAAAAAAAAAAAAAACCAGCACTGGGACTGCAAAGTCGAATATTGCTGAGATGGGCTTAATGAAGCCTCGAAGGATCAGCTGGACTGTTGGCAAACGCCTCATTTCCTGTGGATGTCCCCCTCACAAGTGGAGCAGAGCTTCCACAGTCCTCACAATTATCACACACTTGTTCTGTAGGTCTCAAGTTGGTTTTTTTTTTTTTTTTCCCTTTGCATTAGTCAGGTTGAAAGATTCATGGTATTAATCACAAGTGAAGTTGTTATTTATCACCTGCTGGGTGAGAAATAATAATTTTGGCACAAGTGGGGCAGCAGGCCAGAGGTACCAAATTAAGTAAAACATCTAAACACTAGCAAGGATCATTTCTCTGATTAATGAATTGTTACAAAGAAAAAGCGCTACTCATTATCTGGTCTTAGCAATACAGAATGGGGCCTGTAAGAAAAAAATGGACCAGCTTGCCCAGGCCAGTTTTTGTTTGTTTCATTACTTTTCCCTTCTGATTCTGTCTGTGGAATTGTGCTGCAGTCACACCATCTTTTTGGTTTTCTTTGTTGCCAAAGCAAAGAAACTGGGAAAAGTAATTAATTTTAATGTTGTATTTGAAAATATTAAAATGGTTATTGAAACAATGATTCTCTTTTGAGACAGTGTCTCACTGATCTTTGGTTGGCCATGACCTCTTTGTAGACTAGGCTAGCCTTGGCCTCATAGAATCCACTTACCTCTGCTGGTAAGTGGTATGCACTACCACAACTGGCCTAAAATGATTTTTGTAACTTTTAAGATATTAACATGATTTTTGAAATAGTATTTGTGAATCACTTTTAAAATGTTCAGTGAACTCAGAAGCATATCATCCCCACCCCCATTCCTGGGGGTTAATGTAGGGCTCTCGGTGATGTAGCAAGATCTCTCCCACTCAGCTATTTCTCAGCTTGCTTTTTAATTTTATCTTGAGATGGTCTCACTAAGTTTCCCAGGATGGCTTTGAACTCACTGTGTAGCCCAGGTTGAATTTGAATTTAAGACCCTCTTGCCTCGCACCCTGCATAACTGGGATTACAAACATGTGTCACCAGGTCCAGCCAAGTTAAACTTTGTCTAAAAATGCCAACGTGTTTACGATTTCTGCTGAGTACCGTTGATGAAGAGCTTACTTAAAAAGGGGTCCATTTTCATTTGTGGGAATTTCTCTGATAATTTCAAAACAGTGAAGTTTCACTTTGATTCCTCAAGTATTGTTTACATTTTTATAGAGGAATTAAGAACTTTTTTCCCCCCACATTCATGATAGGAATAACAAGAACCAGGCTTATCCTGCCTTAAATAACTAAAAAACAAAACAAAATAATAGATGAAATGATGGTTTCTGACATGGGATAAGATGAACAGTGATCCTGAAGCAAAGAGCATTTCTAGGCTACTCAGAGAACCCAGAAGTCAAAAAGTGGTGCTGGAGGGACAACACCTGTGTAGAGAATGCTGGAGATTGATTGAATGTCTGTTAGTCATCTACCGATTGTTGACTCTGCTGTGCACAGAGCCCCAGAACAACCCTGCTCGGACAGAAGGCTGCCCGTGGTTTAGTTCCTGCTAGTTAGTGAGAGTAGAAAAGCCACAACACACAGAGACCATCAGATAGAGAAGAAAGGCTACCTACCACACACACCATCAGGCAGCTCAGAAGGACATTGCTTGTCTTAGTGTCCATGTAGAAAGTAAAGTCCCGAGTGAATGTGTATTATTGACAAGTCAAGGACCCCAATGCCTGAGACCCATGGGGATGGCAAAGTCTCCCCCAGGTCAGGTTAAGAAAAATGGCAGAGCTGCTTTCTGGTCCAAGTGCAGGTGTTACTAATGGTTAACGTTTCGCTAAAACCAGTGTGTGCAGAAACTATCAAGCACAGCTTCCCCTTCCCAGACAACTGCAAGCTGAGACTGTTCCCATTCAGACCTTCTACTGATCTCTGGTTCAGCTAATGCTCTGAGTTCCTCAGATGTTATGGGTGTGTCTCCATCAGCCCCCAGCCCACCCAATCTCATCTTTTCTGCATATGTGTCTATTATTTCATTCCCTGTCAGTCCCTAAACTGTGCAGGTCA